GAGTACAACGTGTTCAGACGTTCATCTACTGATTACAACGTGTTCAGACGTTGATCTACGATCTACTGAGTTCCATGTGTTCAGACGTTGATCTATTGAGTACAACGTATTCAGACGTGTATTTACTGAGTGCGATGTGTTCAGACGTTGATCAAGAGCGTACAATGTGCTCAGACGATAATCTACGATCTACTGAGTTCCATGTGTTCAGACGTTGATCTATTGAGTACGATGTGTTCAGACGTTCATCTACTGAGTACAGCGTGTTCAGACGTGTATCCACTGAGTGCGATGTGTTCAGACGTTGATCTAGAGCGTACAATGTGTTCAGACGATTATCTACTGAGTACAACGTGTTCAGACGATGATCCACTGAGTTCCATGTGTTCAGACGTTGATCTACTGAGTACACGGTGTTCTGACGATGATCTACTGAGTACATCGTGCTCAGACGATGATCTACTCAGTACGATGTGTTCAGACGTTGGTGTTACTGGCCGATACACCTCTCCATGTTATTTCTGATAAGATTCTGTACTGTAGGTGTACTGGTCGATACACCTCTCCATGTTATTTCTGATAAGATTCTGTACTGTAGGTGTACTGGCCGATACACCTCTCCATGTTATTTCTGATAAGATTCTGTACTGTAGGTGTACTAGCCGATACACCTCTCCATGTTATTTCTGCTAAGATTCTGTACTGTAGGTGTACTACCGATACACCTCTCCATGTTATTTCTGATAAGATTCTGTACTGTAGGTGTACTGGCCGATACACCTCTCCGTGTTATTTCTGATAAGATTCTGTACTGTAGGTGTACTGGCCGATACACCTCTCCATGTTATTTCTGATAAGATTCTGTACTGTAGGTGTTCTGGTCGATACACCTCTCCATGTTATTTCTGCTAAGATTCTGTACTGTAGGTGTACTGGCCGATACACCTCTCCATGTTATTTCTGCTAAGATTCTGTACTGTAGGTGTACTGGCCGATACAGATTCTGTACTGTAGGTGTACTGGCCGATACACTCCTCCACGTTATTTCTGCTAAGATTCTGTACTGTAGGTGTACTGGCCGATACACCTCTCCATGTTATTTCTGCTAAGATTCTGTACTGTAGGTTCTGGTCGATACACCTCGATACACCTCTCCATGTTATTTCTGATAAGATTCTGTACTGTAGGTGTACTGGCCGATACACCTCTCCGTGTTATTTCTGATAAGATTCTGTACTGTAGGTGTTCTGTACTGTAGGGTACCGATACACCTCTCCGTGTTATTTCTGATAAGATTCTGTACTGTAGGTGTACTGATACACCTCTCCATGATACACCTGTCTCTGTAGGTGTTATTTCTGATACACCTCTCCGTGTTATTTCTGATAAGATTCTGTACTGTAGGTGTACTGGCCGATACACCTCTCCGTGTTATTTCTGATAAGATTCTGTACTGTAGGTGTACTGGTCGATACACCTCTCCATGTTATTTCTGATAAGATTCTGTACTGTAGGTGTACTGGCCGATACACCTCTCCATGTTATTTCTGCTAAGATTCTGTACTGTAGGTGTACTGGCCGATACACCTCTCCGTGTTATTTCTGATAAGATTCTGTACTGTAGGTGTACTGGCCGATACACCTCTCCATGTTATTTCTGCTAAGATTCTGTACTGTAGGTGTACTGGCCGATACACCTCTCCGTGTTATTTCTGATAAGATTCTGTACTGTAGGTGTACTGGCCGATACACCTCTCCATGTTATTTCTGATAAGATTCTGTACTGTAGGTGTACTGGCCGATACACCTCTCCGTGTTATTTCTGATAAGATTCTGTACTGTAGGTGTACTGGCCGATACACCTCTCCATGTTATTTCTGATAAGATTCTGTACTGTAGGTGTACTGGCCGATACACCTCTCCATGTTATTTCTGATAAGATTCTGTACTGTAGGTGTACTGGCCGATACACCTCTCCATGTTATTTCTGATAAGATTCTGTACTGTAGGTGTACTGGCCGATACACCTCTCCGTGTTATTTCTGATAAGATTCTGTACTGTAGGTGTACTGGCCGATACACCTCTCCGTGTTATTTCTGATAAGATTCTGTACTGTAGGTGTACTGGTCGATACACCTCTCCGTGTTATTTTTCTGAGATTCTGTAAGATTCTGTACTGTAGGTGTACTGGCCGATACACCTCTCTATTTCTGATAAGTGTACTTATTCCGTGTTATTTCTGATAAGATTCTGTACTGTAGGTGTACTGGCCGATACACCTCTCCGTGTTATTTCTGATAAGATTCTGTACTGTAGGTGTACTGGCCGATACACTCTCTCCATGTTATTTCTGTTATTTCTGAAGATTCTGTACTGTAGGTGTACTGGCCGATACACCTCTCCGTGTTATTTCTGATAAGATTCTGTACTGTAGGTGTACTGGCCGATACACCTCTCCGTGTTATTTCTGATAAGATTCTGTACTGTAGGTGTACTGGCCGATACACCTCTCCATGTTATTTCTGCTAAGATTCTGTACTGTAGGTGTACTGGCCGATACACCTCTCCGTGTTATTTCTGATAAGATTCTGTACTGTAGGTGTACTGGTCGATACACCTCTCCATGTTATTTCTGATAAGATTCTGTACTGTAGGTGTACTGGCCGATACACCTCTCCGTGTTATTTCTGATAAGATTCTGTACTGTAGGTGAAGTTTCAGTGCGCCCTAGGTTTGTGATAAACATGGTGTGTGTTGTTGTTAATTCTAAGTAAGTGTATGTTGTGTTGTTCCAGCAGTAAGGTTCTATTCACAATGTGTCAATGCAAACTGTAAACAACCCTTGTAGGTAACACAAGACCCTAGGAAGGCCTGATACCACTTCGACAAGGATGACTAAACACAGCCAGATCACTTTGTAATAAGGGGCACATCTAGCTCAATCATGTAAGGCCTACGATTATGGCAGTGGGGAGTTGCTTCCCTTGAACATGCCAGGATTCTATGATAGTGGGTTCGAATCCCAGTTACTACAAATTATGTCCTTAGGTTTTCAAGCACCATACTGTGCCATGTGTGTTACCAAAGTGATGCATTATGTCGACAAACTCACTAGCTCTGAAGTTAACAGTCGTACAAGCATGAAGTACTATAGTGGATGTGTCCTATGTGTCTCCAGTACAAAATATGTTCATTAGTAATCCAATCCCAATATTTTTCGAAACATTCATTTTCAAAAATGTGCACCATTAGGACCAGAAAAACACCTCCCTAATAAAACAACGAGGTACTGACAGTTGAAAATGTTTGGGGCATGATCAAAACAGGACAATGAAACAAACGTCTTTATCTGTAAAAAGCATAGAGGGACATTTTGGTGTAGATTCTTAGACCCTTATCAAGTTTACCCGTGAAAATATGTGTTAGAATTTGTCTTCAGGAACCCACGTGACTAACGAGATCAGGTGGTCAGGTTCGCTGACTTTGTTGAAACATGTCATCGTATCTCAATTGCACATTTGAGATTGATGCTCATGCTGTTGATCACTGGATTGTCTTGTCCAGACTCGATTATGAACAGACCTCCGCCATACAGCAGGAATATTGCTAAGTGTGCTGTAAAACAACCAACTAACAAACCAATCTAATTTCCCCAAAAAGTTACCCTAATTGTTTCATAGGTGTGGTGGTTTTCATACGTGTGGTGTTAAACAGCAAACCAACCAACCAACCAACCTTTATCAAGCTAAAAGTTGTCACATATGAATTTGTATGCTTCATGTTTGACTCATCAACTTCCACAACGCCGATCAAACACTTAACAACTCAACACGAGTAGACCAGTAATGTTTTATGGTCAAATATACTGAGAGAAAATTCAAGTGTTCCTTTATTATTTTCCAGTTTTCATCACCACAGCGCTATTCAAAGCGGGTGATGAAAACAGACAAATATTAAAGGAACGCTTGAATTTTCCTGTGATCCTTTATTTGTTTCTCTCAGTATATATGAGTCATACATGATAAGTGATGACACAATGTTTGAAAAAATCATTTTTATTTAAATTGTCTTATATTACACATGAAACAGGGTCTTTACGATATGCCCACAGCATTGGGTCAGTACTGAGCAACAATATAAAAAATAACAATAAATGCAAAAATGTACACCATACAATGCCATAAACATGAGCAAAATGATTTAATGAACAAAAGTGACAACTTCATGTACATAATCATATAAAAAAAATTAAAAATCCACTGTACAAAAACAAGTATCACATTCGATATCCCCATTGAATAGATATGAATACAAGAATTCACTAAGGGACAAGGATAAGGCATGAAAAACTTTCCTTAAATGGTGAAAACAGAATTTTAAAAAAGTAACAAGTAAACAGTAATGAATAATTTGTAAACACATATCTCACAAAAACAATATTATTTTACAAAATCCATCAACAGTATTAATCTTCATAACAATACCTTGTCTGAACTAGACTAACAAGACATAAATACATCAGTAAATAAGTAAGTAAACATGACCAGCTAATACAAGGGGTGTCAGAATACATTATGATACACTGGTCTTCATATCAATGGCTGTAGGCATGTTTAAGTCAAATCATGGCTCTGTTGGCTTACGATGAGTGAATATCGCAGTCTGAACATGGACAGATATATCCTAACACATACATTGCATCATGTAATTAATTGTGATGCACATGGGCTGTCTCCTGGCTTACAATGAGTGAATATTGTAGACAGAACAAGGACAGATATATCCTAACACATACATTGCATCACGTAATTAATTGTGATGCACATGGGCTGCCTCCTGGCTTACAATGAGTGAATATTGTAGACAGAACAAGGACAGATATATCCTAACACATACATTGCATCATGTAATTGTGTGAATATACAATGAGTGAATATTGTAGACTGAACAAGGACAGATATATCCTAACACATACATTGCATCACGTAATTGTGATGCACATCCTAACACATACATTGTCTGTTGGCTTACAATGAGTGAATATTGTAGACTGAACATGGACAGATATATCCTAACACATACATTGCATCACGTAATTGTGATGCACATGGCTTGTCTGTTGGCTTACAATGAGTGAATATTGTAGACTGAACAAGGACAGATATATCCTAACACATACATTGCATCATGTAATTGTGATGCACATGGCTTGTCTCCTGGCTTACAATGAGTGAATATTGTAGACTGAACAAGGACAGATATATCCTAACACATACATTGCATCATGTAATTGTGATGCACATGGCTTGTCTGTTAGCCTACAATGAGTGAATATTGTAGACTGAACATAGACAGATATATCCTAACACATACATTGCATCACACAACAACATCTGAACAGCTGACAGACAACAGTTGTGGCAACTCTGGAAGCATCTTTACCATCGAGTTGGCTTTGACACTTACAAGTTCTACAAAATAAATGATTACATCGTTTTTGTTTCTCTATACATGTGGACATCTGACTGCATATGATGAACTTTAACACTTATAATTCCGATACCCTTCATAAGCTTCCATATTGCTGACTTGGCGCTTCTGGACAGCTGCCACTTTCTTCTTTGCTCCGTGGAACCGGTGCACATTGGCCTGGTGTGACTGGTGAGCAATTCTGTGGGAACTATCAGTTGCTTCACCTAATTGCTGGAAAAATATACAAGTAATGAGTTTCCATATCTTTGACCGCAGTGACAGAGTGAGTGAGTTTAGTTTAACGCCGCACTCAGCAATATTCCACCTATATGGCAGTGGTCTGTAAATTATCGGATCTGGACCAGACAATCCAGAAATCAACAGCATGAGCATCGACCTGCGCAATTGGCAACCCAATGACATGGGTTACTGAAGATCAATTCTAACCCGGATCTTCACTGGTTTCAGTGACTGAGTGAGTGAGTTGGGTCATGCTACAAACAATATTGTCCAATGAGTCCTAAAGCAGCGAATTCGTATTAAAACCAAACTATACTGGGTATACTCACATAACATAAAATAAATTTTCAATGTTTTTCAATTTCTCCGATTCAACATTTTTAAAGATTGGTTATCTAAAATATTGTGTTATGAAATTGGTGTCCTTTTCATTCATGATACTTGTTGTTTTCTATGGCGTCATTGTAATTTTTATTCAAACTGAAACAACTGACACCATTTGAATAAATCCAAACAAAGGGATTAGAATAAAGTGACTCCATATTGAATATTCCTGCCCAGGAGAAAATATTCCAGCATTTCAGCACTTCAGTGCTGTAGTTCTTTGATTAACTGAAGCCTCCAATCATTGGAAAAGTCAGTGAAGTAACAAAAACATGATCGTATGTTTTATGTCAAGTATTTCAATCCGATTTCGCCATTATCCTAAACACCAGATCCAGGTCAGAATTGGTCATCACAAACTCTGCTTGTCATAAAAGGTGATTAACAGGATCTGGTGGTCAGGCCCGCTGACTTGGTTGACACATGTCATCGTATCCCAATTGTGTAGATCGATGCTCATGCTGTTGATCACCAGATTGTTTGGTCCAGACTCAATTATTTACAGACCGCCACCATATAGCTGGATATTGCTGAGTGTGGTGTTAAACAACAAACCAACCAGCCTAAATACAAACCTTTTTTAAATAACAACCCTGTTTCAGTCTGGTGACCTTCACCTTCCCCATATCTGCCCAGTTGGATGACCAGGCATTAATAGAATCTTGTCCCCAAATTATCATTCATTTAACTTGATTACTTACCCACTGATGCAAATTGCAGGAAATGTCATCTTCAAATTCTTCGCATTCGTTCAGGAATGCATATCGCTCTTCACGTTGCTCTACAGTCTTTGCACCTCTTTTCAGCATATTCTTGGTTGCCAATCTGGATCAAATTTACAGAACAGTGAGCTAGTGAGTTGGATTGATTCCTGCTTTGAATAGTATTTCACAAACATTACAGCATTCAGCTCACAGTACCATCTAGCCTCTAATATCAATATATCTACCAGAAAATACAGTTCTTATGTAATGTTGTTAAAATAGGATATAAAGGAGACGAGGGACTGTCAATTCAACTGCAGAAATCTAGTCTTACAACATATTCTATGTGGCGGCGTGTGGTCCTGTGCATAGAGCTCAGGTTACAAATCAGGTGTAGATGTTTCGACATAGATGCAAACACCGTAATCAAACAAGTCACGTGTCTGAATCTGGCATCTACACCGTAGTTACGTCGCAACTATTGCAACAAAGAAGTTGTCCCTCCATAAAAATATAGACCCTGTACATTGTGGACAGAAAAGTGAAGCACCGTAAATAAAGGTACCAGTGATATTTGTTGCACAGGAGGGTGGGCAGGGGTGGTGAAAAAATAATTTGGTTCCATAAGAGTGTGGAATTAGGGAGGTGGGGCGAGGGAAGAGAGAATCTCTTGTACGTGACTACACACATCTTACTGAAACCATCAAAACACAATGCCTAACTACCACACAACACTTCTATGTTGTTATATTTTGTAACTACTTAGACTGGGTTAGAACTGATCTTCAGTAACCCATGCTTGTTGTAAGGAGCGACTAATGGGATCGGGTGGTCAGGCTCACTGACTTGGTTGAGACGTGTCATCATATCCCAATTGCGCAGATCAGGGCTGTTGGGTAGCCTGATGGTTAAAGCGCCTGCTCGTCACGCCAAAGACCCGGGTTCGATTCCCCACATAGGTACAATGTGTGAAGCCCATTTCTGGTGTCCCTCGCCGTGATAATGCTGGAATATTGCTGAAAGCGGCGTAAAACCATACTCACTCACTCACTCAATTGCGTAGATCAATGCTCATGCTGTTGATCACTGGATTGTCTGGTCCAGACTCAGTTATTTACAGACTGCCGCCATATAGCTGGAATATAGCTGAGTGCGGCGTAAAACTAAACTCACTCACTGAATGTAGTTACTTACAACTGTGCCCTGGCTTCTAGGGGAGCTCTGTTCTTTGTCATCTCAGCTGTCTTCTGCATCGTGGCTAATCCAACAACTGCCACGTTGATGTTCTGGCAACACAAACATGAAAGATGTGATCATCCTTCTATAGCAAAATACTTTTTATGCCGTGCACCAAATGACTGGAAGCATGTGACCAGGTATGACAAGAGGAAGGCGTATTCAAACACAGACAATATTAAAGCCATGTCGCATGCCTCGGGCCTCTCTAGCTGACATACCAATCTGTTTGTGTTCTAATTACCTGATCGCTGGGAGTGACTGAGTGAGTGGGTGGGTGGTTGGGCTGGGCTGGGCTGGGCTGGGCTGGGCTGGATTGGGTTGGGTTGGGCTTGGTTGGGTTGAATTGGGTTGGGTTGGGTTGGGTTGGGTTGGGCTGGATTAAGTTGGGAAGTTGGGGTTGGGTTGGGCTGGGAATTGGGTTGGGTTAGGTTGGGCTGGGCTGGATTGAATTGGGTTGGGTTGGGTTTGGCTGGGTTGGGTTGGGCTGGAGCGAACGAGCAAGTGACAGTGTGTTAAGTTATCAAATTCAAATAGAATTTAAGAAAACTTATCCCTTTCACACATTTTACACTAAGGAAAACAGAGCAAGGGACATAACTCTGTAATAAAATAACTTGGGATGCCAGTTTTAACTCATTTTAGACATTTATCAGTTTTCCACCTCAAATAGTTTTGGAGGGGAAACTTCACTGAGAAACTAAACTAACCAACTACTTCTCTTGTTCTGGTATTATTTGCTATTTCCTCCATAGATTACGCATGTTCTTCATGAAAGGATTTCCTTACCTCTTCCATCACCTTCCTGTCCTTGGTGAACTTGTGGCTCTTGCACATGACACGGAGACACTTCATACCGTTCTTGCGGGTGTAGGTGATCTGAACCTAAACCAGAGAAAAGAGATATTAATTTCAGTTCCTTAGGTCCAAGATAGTAGTAGGATCTGCAGTGTTCTACTTTGAGGGTGAAGGTCAAGAGGTCCTTGTCAAAGAAGACCCCTTAAGCAGTTCTCTGTTTGGAAGCTGTTCGCCTCGAAGTTAATAAGTCTTTTATTGCATCAGTAGGTAGCTAAAGTGAGTGCATATGTCCCATTATGTACAATATAGGCCAAAATATTGTAACAAATGTGTGAAAGTGTGCCTTTTGGGATCCTTGGACATGGTGGTTGTTGGTTTGTTGTTTAACGCCGCACTCAGCAATATTCCAGCTATATGGCGGTCTGTAAAAAATCTAGTCTGGACCAAACAATCCAATGATTAACAACAGCATAAGCATTGATGCACGCAATACATGTGTCAACCAAGTCAGCGAGTCTGACCACCCGATCACGTTAGTCGCCTCTTATAGCAAGCATGGGTTGCTGAAGACCAATTCTAACCCGGATCTTGACGGGTGGACATCAGAGCACTGAAAATGTATGAACTCACTACTAGAAAATCCTGAGGAAAAAATGTTGAACTTGGGGATTCTTTTTGCTTTTTAGTATTAAGGGGTGTGATAAAGGGAGAGGGGATGAGGGTGTAATGATAACTTTGAACTGTAATTTTGGGAATAGTAATTTTTTTAAAGGGAGAGAGTCAAAGACTTGGTCTTTGAAAGTATGAATACGTGTGTTCGTCTTTTGTCAAAACAGCGTGGGAGAGTAGGGAAGGTTTCTGCTTTGGAGTCCCCGTTCTGAATTAAAAAGTACCTGGAAAGGCAGTTCCTCAACGTCTGGGATATTGTTCGGATCTTTGAGCTTGAAGTTGAAAGTGAGGTCCGAGTCCTTCAAGGCATTGCCCACCTCCTTCACCAACCTACTGCAGTCCTGAAACAGAACAAGAAGGGATAACAATGGGTGAAAATGCAACATTTTCTTTTTGATTCAAGCATCTGCAACATGCAGATGATTTCAAGGTGAGGCACATACATGGAGAGGAACTGAGGAACAGAGGAACATACACTGAGAGGAACACATGTACAGAGAACACATGTACAAAGAAGACATGTACAAAGAAGCAATTACCAAGGAACACATGCAAAGAGGAACACGCGGACAGACCAACGTCTGTACAGAGGAATATATGTACAGAGGAACAAACGTACAGAGGAACATATATACAGAGGAATATATATAGAGGAACAAATGGACAGTGGAACACATGTACAGAAAATCATGTGCAGAAGAACACATGGACAGAGGAACACATGTATAGGAACACATGGAACACATGTATAGACAGAGGAACACATGTACAGAAGAACACATGTATAGAGCAAAAGTTGACATGAAGACATGTACAGAACACATGTATAGAGGAACACATGTACAGAAGAACACATGTACAGAACACATGTACATGTGCACAGAGGAACTACAAGAGAGAGGAACACATGTAAGAGGAACATACACTCAAGCAGAGACACATGCAGAAGAAACATACTCAAAGGAACATACTTGCAGAGGAACACACTGACAGAGAAACATACTTGCAGAGGAACACACTGACAGAGAAACATGCTTGCAGAGGAACACACTGACAGAGAAACATGCTTGCAGAGGAACACACTGACAGAGAAACATGCTTGCAGAGGAACATACCGCGGAACTACAGTGTCCTCAAATGATTAAACACACTCTCTAGAACATGACAGGTCCCCCTTACCTTTGGATATCCTTCTTCAACAAACACAAGCGATGGATGCAGCAGGAAGGTGACATGAACTGATGAAGCCACGACCTTGTTCTGCCAGATAACTCGCAGCTGCCTAACAATCTCCATGGGGTTGAGGACGTTGATGGTGCCGCCTGAAGCCAGTGCACATGGACTAACGTACTGCATCCCAACAGCCTCTCCCTCCACTGCCATGATGTTGATGACAATGTTCTTTGAACGTGCATATCCGCCGATCTGGAATTACAAAGAAAATGTATAATAGAGAAACTACAGCAAGCAGGAGCTAGACTGACGTGTAATGTTTATGTTCACGCTTGCCTCACTTTTAGTCGGCATTGTGAAACATGAACATTCTAAATTAGGAGTGTGGATAAAATTAAAAGGGTTACATTACTTTTCAAAGTATTCAAAAAATGAAAAATGAATCAATGAAGAATTAATACCACTACTTTGCTCATTATTGAAAATATAGTACACCTGTTAAAAAACAAATTTTGATCGGGCTCAAGAATGAACTTCCGTTCCACCAACTGATCAAAGACTTCAGAAACCAAAGTTCTATGATCCACTGGTAACTAGAATCAGTCACAGAATGTATGTGTTTCTTTACTTCATCAAATGTTTAGTTCAATGCCAAAAGAACCCTCACGGAACACAAATATACCTCAACATGTCTGTCCAGAGCAAGAGAGAGTAACTTAGCAATACATTTTCAAATTTGGATTTCCTTGATAATATTCAGTTTTAAGAGTTTCCAGATACAGAAATCAGATCTTCTTGTCTGAAATCTGTTTTGCATACCAAGAACGCTGATAAAGTTCACCTGATGAGGTGATCTGCTGTGATGAGATCTTCACAAACAGGGGCAGTGGGGTAGCCTAGTGGTTAAAGCGTTCACTCATCACGCTGAAGATCCGGGTTCAATTCCCGACATGGGTACAATGTACGAAGCCCATTTCTGATGTCCCCCGTCTTGATATCCATGGAATATTGCTATAAGTGGCATAAAACTAAACCCACTCACTCACTCTTCACAAACACTAAAAAATCTGAGGTTAAAGAGATGGAAAATGTGGTCTACTACCAGTAATTATTAAAGCTGATTCACAGCTTACCTTTGTATAGAATGAGTCACGGGTATTGCCAGTCGAGGAACCAATTCCAGAGTTTGGCGCTCCATCAGTACATAGCACAATCTCTGACGAAGGCACATCACTCACAAACCCAGCACATATTGCTAGCGCTGGACCGAGAGCTGTGCATCCTCGTGTGTGAAGATCTGCCACCTTCTCCATCAAATTGCTAGAAAATGTATGAATTTCATCTTAAATTAAGCCTTATACTTTTCTATCATCAATCTCATCATGCAAGAAATTATCCACAATTCATTTTGAATTTAACATATTCTCCATCAAACAATCCATTAACGTAACACTTGGAAAACATATATTACATGCTATGTCATTGTATTGCGTGGAGACAATCACTGGACTGAAGGAAAACCAAGTTCTATGGATAGTCATCTTCTTTATTGCAATGAGTGTGACCTTTTGGTGTAGGTACTAAGCCATCACTTGCTTTATAACGGTGTTAGTACTTACACCGAAACGTCGCACTCATTGCAGTAAAGAAGTTGACTATCCATAGAACTTACATGTACTAAAATGGTTAGACCAACACTCACTCGTGAGAAAGTCGCAGAGGTTTGATCTCCTTTTTCTTTGCTTGCTTTTGGCCCTCCTTGATGAGGGCATCAAAGTTATTCATATCAACTCCAGTGACCGTCTTGCTGCTTCCAGTCCCATCGCCTACAATCTCAATTTCCGAGTCAAAGAGGACCAACATGACCTGCTTTTCAGGCTGCTCTTGTTTCAACAGCTCTACTTGTCTGTAACAGATAAGAAATTAAATTTTAAAAATATGTTTGTCACTTTATTCCAAATGCTTATACTTGTAAACTGAAAAATTGCATATATGTCTGTTTAATGTCTGGCAAAATGGCCACAAAATATAATTAAGCTGTTTTGAATATTTAGTCGGGAGATAGTCAACAGCAACAATGTCATTGTATGGGTTCTAATCCCTAAAGCACAAAAACACATCTTTTCCAAATTTCAGTTAACGCAAACACATGTTTTAATAATGTTTCAGTATTTACTTTGTGTTTTCAATGCATAGCGTCTTAAGTTTTGTGTTCGGTTCAAAATCAATTTGGATCAAGTTGACATTTTCACTCACAGATAGCAAGACATTAACTTAAACAGATCACATGTTATCTGACTCAAAATAAAAATATCTGCCAGTTATTATGTTTTCCATGATGAAATACCATATCTATACAAAAATCCGAAATTACTGTTTCACTGTCATGAAATGTACCTCATCACGGCCTCCTTGATGCACTCCAGCCGAGATTTTGCCTCCAGCTCCTCTCCACTTCGAGCCTGCTTCCATGCCGCTATTAAAGAGACACAGAAACAGATATTTAGACAAATATAAATCTTCTATCGCAACTGCTCAGTTCCAAAAGGGTACATACATATACAGATAAACATACGTAGAGAGCAACACATGCACAGAGGAACACATACAGAGGAAACTACAGATGAGAATACAGAGGAAAATATGTAGAGGGCTCTGATGGACACGGCTGGACGTAACTCCATCTGTAAGTTCTGATGGACACGGCAGACATAACTCCATCTGCAAGCTCTGATGGACAAGGCCTGATGTATCTCCATATGTATCTCCATCTGCAAGCTCTGATGGACAAGGCCTGATGTATCTCCATCTGCAAGCTCTGCTGGACACGGCCTTCTGTACCTCCATCTGCAAGCTCTGATGGACAAGGCCTGATGTATCTCCATCTGCAAGCTCTGATGGACAAGGCCTGATGTATCTCCATCTGCAATCTGATGGACAAGGCCTTCTGTACCTCCATCTGCAAGCTCTGATGGACAAGGCCTTCTGTATCTCCATCTGCAAGCTCTGATGGACAAGGCCTGATCTAACACCAGCTGCAATCTCTGATGGACAAGGCCTGATGAAACTCTCACCTTGTAGTTCAGGGACATCTGCTTTGGAGTCCATTGAGCCGCTGATATCCATGCAGTACACAATAATTCCTGGCGTGACCTTCTGGACAACCTCCTCCTTGCCCTCCTTCTCCTCCTCTTCTTTCTCGGTTGCTGGACTCAACATGTAGTCAAACATCAACTCTTTTGGTATCTCCTCTGCTGTAACTTCTAGTTTTTGTTCTCTTTGCCGCAGTACTCACTGAAAGGTAGAACACAATATGTCATGTAATTCTCAATGCAAATTATGTTGTAGAAACATGGCATATTATCCCGTCAGAAAAAATATTCAATGTAAATCAGACCCCTAAAAACAACCAGACTGGGGAAAATAACCTTACTGATATTAATGTTGAAGACTGTTGAAAAATGTGTCAATGAAGAAGTTGCTCCATACTGACCACGTCCACTGTCGTGTATCTCCATCGTCTACGAGGACTGACGTCTGACACAGGACAGCATCACACTTGCTGCACCGAACTGGATCCCCCGTCACAAGCTGTGGGTCATCTGCCAGTGAACCAAGGGGGATGTGCACGATGTTACCATCAATCTTCTTTGTCTTCATGGGTGTCCTACTCGATGGCGGTGGAGGTGGAGGTGAAGCTCTATTGGGTGTTGCCTGGGCCTGCCTTCTTCCACTGAACACTCTCTTCAGGCTAGACATGACACCGCCTTTCTTCTTGGCTGAGGGGAAATAAGTTCAGATGGACCTATATGTTTATCCCTGTGAGTGAATGAGTGAGTGAGTGAGTGAGTGAGTGAGTGAGTGAGTGAGTGAGTGAGTGAGTCAGTCAGTCAGTCAGTCAGTCAGTCAGTCAGTCAGTCAGTCAGTCAGTCAGTCAGTCAGTCAGTCAGTCAGTCAGTCAGTCAGTCAGTCAGTCAGTCAGTCAGTCAGTCAGTAAACACTCAGTCACAGTCAGTCTTTAATATACATATTTTAGCACACATTAATATATAATATTATTTTTTACAATTTATAGCACAGGCTGTAAAAATATTATTTACAATTTACAACATTGACTACAACAATGACAGGCATTGAATGAGAAACGAGTAATTTTAACAATATACTGTTTTGATGGTATGAGCTTCCTTTCAATGTGACTGATACAGCCATCATGCTGCCATTTTGACAATTTCAATGATATTGTTATCCAAACTTTATTCGTCAACACAAGTATTATACGTTCAGAAACGTCTCATTCTCAGTTTTCATTCAAAGCCTGTCAACACAAGTATTATATGTTCAGAAACAAGGGAGGTAATTAACGTACCACCAAATGAGGCAGCACTCTGTTGTAGTCCACCAAATGCCTGGGATTGAGCAGACGATGAAAACCTCTTTTTCTTTTTTCTTGCCTCCATCTTAGGAAGGCCTGTCACACTGATCATCTTCCTGTAGGAATCTTCAATGGTGGGGTCATAGTTCTCAACAAACGAGTCTTGCACAAGACGCAAGGTGACCGACGACTTGCCCACCCCACCCGAACCAAGTGTTGCCAGCTGCAATGTTAAAGTGGAATCACATTGAAGGGACTTACCCTCTTACACCACCTGTATTAGTTTATGCACTTCTCATCTCCAACCTCAACCAAAAACAATTGAGCAAGTGAGAGAGTGCACTCAGCAATATTTCAGCTCTATGGCGTCTATCTGTAAATAATCGAGTCTGGACCTGACAATCCAGTGATCAACAGCATGAGCATCAACTTACACAGTTGGGATATGATGACATGCGTCAAGCCAGCAAGCCTAACCATCGATCCCGTCAGTCACCTTTTACGACACGCATGGGTTACTGAAGATCAATTCTAACCTGGACCTTCACAGGTTCAACCAAGGACAATGCGAGCAACAGTACAAAATATTTTACATCGTTTCTTGCAATAATATTACATAAGCCCTTCTCATTCTGTTGTCAGCCAATCAGAAAACAGCAGTCAAGCATGGCTCAAATTTGGAATATATACAAAAAAATAACCAGTTACATATGGACTCACATTTTAACTTCACTGTATGCTTAAGTCCCATAATGACAATATGGGCATCATATATCAGAATGATATTGTTTCTGAATGGTTTTGGTTTTGTATGGAAGAGTCAAACGATAAGCGATACCAAAAAGTTTCTTTTCAGTTGAAACGAAGATTTTATGACTGCCTCTCTCAAATTGGCATACCTCGCTTCTTGTAACGTCTAACTGCAACCATTATTCTTCACATAAATCGTTACTAAATGTTGAACACTATCTTCTTGAGATATTCCTTTCTACTATAACAACTACTTTTAAGTTTTTTAACTTTTGCCATGCTATGGAATATGTCTGTCATACCAGCACAACCAATCAGGAATATATTCCCACAGTAACAACATCAATCCAACGAAGATGAGTAAAATCTCCTGTAGCATCTGATTATCTTTAATTGCAGTATTAATGTGAAAAATGAAATATATTTTCATCACCAACATCAAATTTGAGGCCAAACACTTAATTTCTGAACATGAGCAAGTTTTTAATCAAAGCTGAATTTTTGTAATGAATGTAGAATAAAACAGTTGAAACATGTATTTAAAAAATCATCTTCAGTCACAAATTTCCAAATGTTTCGATCTTCTAGTGCAGTTAAAAACATCAGCTCCTTTTCATGGTGTAAGCTATATATATTGTATCTGACAATATTATAAGTTGAAATTATAAGGGATGGTTGTCAGATCATTTTAAGTTTCTCAGCCTTAAAAAATTTAAACTTTGACATTTCCAGAAAAGAGATAAAATTATCATCTTTATGTTAATCCTTATTTTATCACAAGGTATCTTTTCTGTGTTTCACCTAATTACTGAGGATTTTCAGTGACATGATCAGATCAGATAGGATTTCTCTTTTGTACATAAATAGCCATGCTGTACCTTATATTCAATTCCGTGGCGAGGGATTGTCCTGAGAAGATCATCAATAGCTTCCTTGACGTTGTCCCCTGTTTTGGCTGACGTCTCCCTGAAGGGTACATGCATCTGGCTGGCCAGGTCGGTACCTTCTGCTGTGGAAACAACTCGCTGGGCATCCAGGTCAGATTTGTTGCCACAAAGGACCTGTGTAATGTAAACAATCAGTTAAAAACAAAATATAGACCACTTGCCCCTGTTTACAAAGTGAAAGTGTGTCTGAGAAATACTGTGTTTAGTATTTTTACACTTTTACCAATACTTCAGCAGTATCATGACATCACTATAATGTGGCTCCCAGTAGTTAAACACATTTATTATTTATTTAAAAATATATATATACTTACAGCGTAAAACTTTTCTCCCTGCTTGCATGTTTCCAGGAAAGTAAACATGGCCTTTGCCTCATCGAAGGACTCCCTGTTCGTGATGTCATACACAATGATGAAGCCTTGAGCTGACCGTGTGTAAACATTTCTCATTGCGGAATACTCCTCCTGTCCAGCTGTGTCCAGAATGTCCAGCATACATTCCTAAACCAATTAAAATTTGTAACGCTTTTGTGACAGAAGAAAACAAGTCAAACAGTTATTTTTGTAAATATTATACAAGTTGAAAATGCATCATTAAAACTTTGATACTTTCACATGCTTTTTTTAAGCGTACTTATCATTTTGACAGAAAACAAAATTCAGTTTGTTTCTGTTGATTTTGAATCTAAATCTAAAAAATTGGAAAAAAGGCGGCCTTAATATCATGAAACAATCAACTACAGCCTCATATTTGTTCAGTGTGACAGTATCATTTGTGGGCATTAATTAATATATCATTTAGGTAGGATCTATCACATATGTACATTAACTGATGCAAATTTAGTTTTTTATTCTGTATATTTATTTGTAATCCATCCCAGATGTCTCACCTTCGCATCTCCTTCTGTTTCCTCTTCCTCTGAAGATGAATTTGAGTTGATTACTTCTTCTTCATCTTCTCCAAGATACACAAAATTGCTGCCGAAATCCATCTGTAAATATTTAATGAAGCAATATAAATTTCCACAGATGAATATTTATTACACAATAATATATATTATTTCAAAGGCTTACTTAACCCCAGTCTCTGCCTTAAATCCCAGGACAAATAATACCCAATATCCTAAACAAAAGAGAAAACTTCCACCAACTATCCATCTTAACCTCTTCCACCAACTATCCATCTTAGCCTCCTCCACCAACTATCCATCTTAGCCTCTTCCACCAACTATACACCATCTTAACCTCCTCCACCAACTATCCCCTTAGCCTCATCCACCAACTATCCATCTTAGCCTTATTCCACCAACTACCCATCCACCAACTATCCCTAGCCTCCTCCACCAACTATCCAGATTAGCCTCTTCCACCAGCTATACCACCTTAGCCTCCTCCACCAACTATCCATCTTAGCCTCTTCCACCAACTTACCCATCTTAGCCTCCATCCACCAACTATCCATCTTAGCTCCTCCACTAACTATCCATCTTAGCCTCTCTACCAACTATCCATCTTAGCTACCTCCACCAACTATCCATCTTAGCCTACCTCCTAACTATCCATCTTAGCTCTCCTCTACCAATATCCATCTTAGCTACCTCCACCAACTATCCATCCTCTTAGCCTATCGTCCTCCACAACTATCATCTTAGCCTCTCTCCACCTTCTATCCATCTTAGCCTCCTCCATCAACTATCCATCTTAGCCTCTCCGCCAACTATCCATCTTAGCCTCTCCACCAACTATCCATCTCAGCTCCCTCCAACTATCCATCCGTCTTAGTACCTCCCACCAACTATCATCTTCTGCTACCTCCACCAACTATCATCTTAGCTACCTCCAATCCAACTATCCATCTTAGCTACCTCCACCAACTATCCATCTTAGCTACCTCCACCAACTATCCATCTTAGCTACCTCCACCAACTATCCATCTTAGCTACCTCCACCAACTATCCATCTTAGCTACCTCCACCAACTATCCATCTTAGCTACCTCCACCAACTATCCATCTTAGCTACCTCCACCAACTATCCATCTGTGGTCTGCCTCCATTCGTATCTGTCTTGGCTTAGCTACCTCCACAACTATCCTTCTTAGCTACCTGTCCATCTTGGCTATCCATCTTAGCTATCCTCCACCAACCATACATCTTAGCTACCTCCACCAACTATCCATGTCCATAGCCTCCACCTTCGTCTTGTTATCCAGCTATCCATCTTAGCTACCTCCACCAACTATCCATCTTAACCTCTCCACCAACTATCCATCTTAGCTACATCCACCAACTATCCATCTTAGCCTCTTCCACCAACTATCCATCTTAGCTACCTCCACCAAATATCCATCTTAGCCTCTTCCACTGACAACCGATCCTACCCTCTTCCACTGACAACCGATCCTACCCTCCACCCACTACCCATCTTATCCATCACCACCTATATGCCTCCTGTTAACTCCCAGTTCCCCTGCTGTTATATGAATGGATACATGACCATGTAGGTCATCCTACCCGCAATCTGTTCACCCAGATATACTCTCCACCCTGTCATCTTAAACAGGGTGTAATACACAGTAAGGATATACAAATTAACGCTATGGTATGCGTCACGCCCATATCGGAAAGCCTCTCTATTCAATTGACACACACAGTACTATACTAGACCCAACTGTCCTTGGGCTCAATAGTTTCACCACTGTAGTCAACAGCCCATAACACGACCAGCAACATAAATGGATCAGTAAAGGTTTATGATTCATACATATCTTCGTTCGTTTATCAACGTTGTTTACTCCATGAAGATTTAACATAATATTTGATCTTGCGCCAAGATCCTATATATAGTATCTACCGTAAACATTCATGTCGATTTCACAACAACCCGGAAGTGTTTCGTGGAGTGGAAGCATGCCATGTTGATTGGAGCCTAGTTACCATAACGACAAATATTTTCTTAACTATGCATATGTCACCACTAGCCGAGAGCCGCGATCCGGTCTTATATACAGTCAAGACATGACCCACGCGTGAAGACAAGTCCGGACAGTGTTTGGTTTTTATTTCATCAAATATAGAAGGTAACTTCAAAAACTGAACAAGATAATGCGAAAACAATTAAACGTAGATCGATATACATTTACTGTCAAAAGACATGCGATTATTTCCTAGAGTAATTTACAGAATTAGAGTATAAACCCGCATTGCCCCACCCCAAGCCTTGCTTACTGATTAATATGCCGGCCCATAGAGATCACATGTAAATAAGTTCTAAATATAGCATTTTGCCAGGTAAACACAATCTAAAGTGTCGCGTCAGCAACTGTGAGCTTATGACAGTATAATAATTATTATCTGACAGACGTATAATTGTAAATGCAGCATACCTTGTTTCTGTGAATATCTTTCCTCCAACACAAACGTTCCTTCTTGTTTGACAGATCGACGATATCTTTTCACCCGAGTTGTCTGTGGCGCATATATATACTGCTCGTCATTAGTTATATTTAGCCTAGCGATTTGATTGGCTGGACTGAATCAGTTGCTATAAATAGATTCAACAACAACTCCACGTGTTCGGCTAAATCGAATCCGGTTCAAATAGTGTCAGCGTGCGTAAAAGGTATATGTGTTCGCTCAAGGTGTTCGAACCGAACTTATAGTAGTTACTTGCAATAGATGCAGTACATTATTTGAAACTTTTGTAAACGAATTAATGACTGCGACGTGTTGTGACATGAACATGTCTGTTTCATTATTTTCTGTAATAAGAAGGTTTTGTTTGTTTGTTGTTTAACGCCGAGCTCAGCAATATTCCAACTATATGGCGGCGGTCTGTAAATAATCGGGTCTGGATTAGACAATCCAGTGATCAACATCGTGAGCATCGATCTACGCTATTGCGGTACGATGGAATGTGTAATATAAACCAAGTGAGCGAGCCTGACCACCCGATAACGTTAGTCGCCTCTTACCAAACAATCAGGCTATAAGATATACTTGTATTAATAAAATTATGTAGACGTCGGGCATTTTTCCGGATAGAGGTGGTCGTTATGGTAGGAATACTAGTAATTGCTAACCAAATCTTACCGCCCCTCATCAATGAACTACTACTCCCTAAAGAGAGAGAGAATTAGATTTTACGCTGCTTTTAGTAATATTCCTGCAATATTACAGCAAGGGACACCAGATATCGGCCTCACACATTCTACCCATGTTGGAAATCGAATCCGGGTCTTCGGCGTGACGAGCGAACGCTTAAACCACCACCTGCCCTACATCCCTCCATAACACTGCACACAGCAGATAAACAAACACGCCACTTATTTTCTCTTTTTTTTTGAATATCGATTCAGGATGAAGCCATTCAGAACAACGGGCTTGACCACAAGCATAATTTGCCATTGAGAATGGTACTTCCGTTTTGGCACCCTCAGCCCTGTTGTGCGATGTTTCCTGCCTGCGGCTTTGCGGAAACCTGAAGGGGATTCCCCTTAATGTATTTGAACAGTGCGCAGCAAACCGGAGCTTGAGACGCACTTGCGCCCCATTGCCTAAGGCTGGATTTACACTACGTCCGCATTTTTTGACGCATGCGTTACCGAGTGCGTTTTTTCCAATACACTAGGTGCGATCATCTGCGATATAAGACGGATGAATATAAGATGGAGGAAAAATCCTATCAGTTTCTGTGCATGAGGAAGAGAACAGAACACGGAGATGGTGGGTACATCCCTTAAACAAACAAAGATTACTTAAAGGAGCCTATAATCGCCTTATAAGGGAATTATTAGGGAATTAAATAACATCAATCTTTTATGTGTTTTAGAAATATTGAACTAAGAGTATGTGGAAAATATTTACTTTCATACCAACATTGTTCTCTCATAGACTCAGGCATTACAAATTCCACATATATAGAATTTGAGCAGTACTGACTTCCCTGGGGAACATAGTTCTGAGGGTTCTGTTGACGTGAACCAAATTGAGCCTCATGAAATATCTGGGCAATTTCATTTTTCATAAGACTTTTATAAGCATCTTGAAGAAGCTTGTTCTGAGAATGAAATTTATCAAAGGTTTGTCATATTATTGTATATGTTATGCACAGACAGGCGCAGAAACACATTATAAATAATATCTCATCAAAAACACAGCCTGTCTGCAATTGGAATCGCGTATTTTTATCGAAAGATGAGGAAATAACCTTACCTGATTGTCAACGTGTTGGGGAAATACCTTATTCGAATGACGTCATCAGGGGAATTCCTCATGCGAGTTCATTTGCGTTGCGTCAAAAATAGGAGGCCTACCTATCTAAATCGCTTCGGATCGCACCGCATGCAAAATTCGCACCTAGTGTATTGTCTAAATGGAAAATGGACTGCTTGCGTTTTTTCGGACGCAACGCATGACGCAACGCAGACAAAATCGGACGTAGTGTAAATCCAACCTAAGCAAGGTTCCAGCAACATCATTGTGGTTCCCGAGGTACCAGAAATGAGCTTGGCAAACTGTTCCCATGTCAGGACTCAAATACGGACCTTTAACCACAGGCCCTCGTGTCCTTGCGAGGATTGAAGATTTTAAAAAATAATAATAACATTTTTATTAGATAACCCGACTCGAAATGCTTCACGGTACAATGAATTACTATGTTACTAAACGCCCCCTGCATTGCCAAGGAGACGGTACTTGTATATAATTGCCTAGAATTACTTTTTCCTCTGTTTGCTAAACACTGAAGAATCCTTAAGAACCACGATTATAAAATGAAATTACTTAAAAGCTTTCGTCTCCTTTTATTTTTAGCTGTTCATCAAAGCTGGTTTACAGTTTAATTGTAGAAAATATCTTGGAATTTTTAAAGTGTTAAACACTCGAAGGACCTGAGCTGTTACATTCTTACAAAAAAATAATCAGTACGTATACCTCACAACTTGTTATCAGATAGGGACGTATATCATGTGCCGCCTCAATTGATATAGTAGCACTGATAAGTTTATTTACCAAAGTGGTTAAAGTCCGAGACCTCCTTCATACTCAATTGTGGTAAAGGGGTGAGAGAAAAACGCGACTTCTACATATTATCATAACCTGATGAATTTAAGATTATAAAATATTAATACAGCCTATTCAATGAGCTCTGGGAGGCTAGCATTATCATGTCTTATTTTAAATGCTAGGTGACATATATGGGGCTAACGTTGCGTATGAGATTATTGCATATATGTGCACGTGTGTGTGGATACTTGTACTGTAGTCCGGACCTCCCAGACCCGTGAAGATTCGGGATAGTATTTTATCATCTAATGGAGGGTGTTATCGGTGCAATAAAGCAAGCTGATAAACTTGGTATCCAAATCTTATAACTATGCAAATTAAGTGAATCCACGAACTACTTTCTCAAAACTCCATACATGTCATGCGAATCCTAAAACGTTTAACATGTCATTGATGTCGCGAGTTTACGTTGCGTGGACGAGTTTGTAAACTCATTATCAGTAAGATTTGATGACAGAGGTTTTGGAGTCGTTAATGCAGTAATTGACTTTGGAAAACATGAAACGGAGAACTTCGTTCAAATTGAAGGTACGGATTATGAGGCACGGTTGACAGGCTATCGTCCAAGAAAGGTACCAACTAAGGATTTCAATCTATCGATCACAACAAAGAGGACTACGAATCGATTCCGTCAGGTATCAGAAACTGATATTGATGATCTGTCTACCCGCAATGAAAATAGAAACACTACCAAGCAAACCCTTTTGTTGTTCTTTTTAGACAGAAAGATCTTATTATAAGCATGAGTTATGTTTGCACTGTATTAGCGATTAGTCACAACCATATGCCGACGTCATGAACGACCTTCACCTTGGTGTACCGTTAAGTATTCTTACGCGAATGCTCGATTCTCTTCATATATAAATTCACGTACGATTTGCTTCTTTTTTAAGAGTTATTTTAAGAATGACATATGATAAGAGATTATTAACCGAGTGTGCGGAAACACACTCGGTTAATAATCACTATATACTTTGAAAACTAATGTGCAAATAAACAAATAAAATAAAAAGATTCGGGTTAGAACTGGTCTTCAGTAACGCATGCTTGTCGTAAGAGGCGACTAACGGGATCGAGTGGTCAGGCTCGCTGAATTGGTTGACACGTGTCAGAACGTTGACAGAACATCAACAGCAAAGATCGATGCCAATGGTCTCAATCACTGGTTTGTCTGGTCCAGGTGCGATTGTTTGAAGGTCGCCGCCATATAGCTGGAATATCGCTAGAACAGGGGCGACAACTGGCCTTCTTGGTCACTCCACGCAAACGATTCTGACAGTTTGGTCGGAAATCCTTCTCAAACCAGGGATGGGTTGTGCTGGGGCTTGTAACGCTAAAAACTGCCATCAAGGCATATACTGTCACTGACGGCGTCTTAGTACTGTATAAAAGGATGTCACTGACGGCAAGGCATATACTGTCACTGACGGCGTCTTTAAGACGCCGTCAGTGACAGTATATGCCTTGATGGCAGTTTTTAGCGTTACAAGCCCCTGTGCATTAAACAACAATCAATAAAATCCGGAAGTTTTACAGAGCCAGCGGAAAGCTAGCCGACCTAACAGATATCTCGTTTTTTTACAGTTGGTATAATGCAATTACTGAATGGAACCACCGACCTTCTGCTCACCCGGCAGACGCTCTAATAGACTAACGCTTAGTCCCTGAATATATATAATTTTGATAGTAACGAATAAACCCATTTAAATTGAAAAGGAGCCCCAGTGAGTTGGGAGATTCAGGAGGAAATCTAGACTTACTTCATTTAGGGCTTTAGCGTTGTAGGGAGGGCTAGGCACGAGGGGCAGAATGTGGTTCAGGGACTGTGAGACAGACTAACGCTCTATCATTAGGCTATCTGATTGTACTTCGATTCGCAGATATAATAAGCCGCACACACGAGCATACACAGTCTTAATGTGTTCCCATTTCGGGATGACTTACATTATATTTCAGACGATGATCTATATATGACTTGTGACGCATCTACACAGGTGAAACCAAGCACCGAAGGAGCAGCATTCAGCACGATTTACATTAACGATCTAAGGGACTATGTCACATTCCTGGTGGGGGAATCCCAAAGGGACACATGCTCATTGTTTTAGATAAATATCTTAGAGAAACCAAGCACTGATTAAACCACTTTCAGTACTATTTCAGTTGATCAGCTGTCACTTTAGTGGTGGAACAAATGCCACAGCGATGCATGTTGATCCTGCAGAGATTTACACTAGAGAAACCAAGCAAATTCCACAGTGGTGCATGTTCATTCTGTTGATATTTTCACTGGGCTAACCACTGGGCTATCCCACCACCCAAATTCTTGAAGAGATATATACACCAATTAATCCAAGGAATGAGCCAGACACTTTAGGGACTGTTTCAGTTAAGCAGATGACACATTACTGTTGGATGAAATTCCAG